CTTTCTAACGACATTTTTGAAGCAAAAATAAATGAAAAATTATATATCGAAAAATGTATTCTCACCATGGACACAATAAAAAATATATACATTACGATCGGGGTCAAATTCTGTGGTTACGATTCTAAATTGAAAGTACGACTAAATTGTTATTTATTGCATTTTATTATGTTCACTCAAAAACACCATTTTAAGATGTAATGTGCAACACTAACCAAAACGTACATAGATATATTCCGAATGCATTTTAGCTACGTACGATTTAACGAAGGCTACTGTTGTGTTGTCGGCTGTTGTCAAAAACCTCCCGGAGCTCGTCCTGCTCTGAGTCTTCTTCTTCGCAACCGCTCGGCGATGATGAAGGCAAGCTCTAGAGACTGAGAAGCATTGAGTCGGGGGTCGCAGTGCGTATGGTACCGTGAGCTTAGATCGTTATATGTTATAGTTCGTGAGCCTCCAACACATTCGGTTACGTTCTGTCCTGTCATCTCCAAATGAACTCCTCCAGGGTAGCTTCCTTCTTGATCGTGTACGTCGAAAAATGCTCTCAACTCGGCCTGAAATCGACATATTTCGATATTTAGGTCTTCAAATGATGTGGAAGTAAACTACTAAAGGTATCTGACTAATTTTGTTAGTAAACTACTAAAGGTTCAAAACGCATATGCTAGGGAGAGGTTTCCACACCCGTTCTCCTCTCCAACCGATGTGGGATCTCACAATCCACCCTCTATGGAGGCAAGCACCCTTACTGGCACACCGCTTGGAGTTTGGCTTTGATACCATTTCTAACATCCCAAACCCACCACTAGCAGATATTATCCTATTTAGGCTTCCCTTCAAGATTTTAAAACGTAGCTGCTAGGGAGAGGTTTCCACACCCGTTCCCCCTCTCCAACTGATGTGGGATCTCACAATCCACCCCCGTTGGGGGCGAGCGTCCTCATTGGCACACCACTCGGTGTTTGGCTCGATACCCTTTTTAGCATCCCAAACCCACCGCTAGCAGATATTGTCCTCTTTGGGCTTCCCCTCAAGGTTTTAAAAGACGTCTACTAGGGAGAGGTTTCCACACCCGTTCCCCTCTCCAACCGATGTGGGATCTCACAGTCTACCCTCTTGGGGGTGAGCGTTCTCACTAAAACACCGTCCAGTGTCTGGCTTTGATACCATTTATAACATCCAAAACCTTGTTCTTTTTGGGCTTCCCCTCAGGGTTTTAAAACACGTTTGCTAGGGAGAGGTTTCCACGCCCATTTCCCTCTCGATCCCAAGTACTTATGGTGGGAAACTACTAGTTAAACCGGAAATGAATGTAATAAGCAAGCTATTCTAATAACCAAATCGAATATATATAAATCAGAAAGAATGATCATACCCTTATTGCATCGAAGGAACGCGTTTTTAGTCCACAGGGAGCTTTGATTGTATTCCCGTGCATCGGATCGCTAACCCAAGTGACGATTTGACCAGCTTGGCGAACTTCCCTGATTAGATGTGGAAGTTTCACTCTCATGTTCTCAGCTCCCATTCTTACTATCACTGTAATTCTTCCAGGCTTGTTCGTGGGATTTAGGATGTCAATAAGCTTCACCAATTCTTTGGGATCCATCTTATCACTTGCCTGTTATCAAAATGCTATAATTTATCAGTCATCAAAGTTCTTCATCCACCAGAGGAATAATTCAACAACCATAAATCTTTAGCGGGTAACCGCCCGCAGATATTGTCCGTTGTAGCCCGTTGCGTATCACCGTCAGCCTCACGGTTTTAAAAAGTGCCTACTAGAAGAGGTTTTCACACCCTTATAAGGAATCCTTCGTTCCCCTCTCCAACTAATGTGAGATCTCACAATCCACCTTCTTTGGGGGTCAAGCGTCCTCGCTGGAACACCGCCCAATGTCTAGTTCTGATACCATTTGTAACAGCCCAAGACCATCGCTAGCAGATATTGTCCACCTTAGCCCATTACATATAGCCGTCAGCCTCACGGTTTTAAAATGCGTATGCTAGGGAGAGGTTTCCACACCCTTATAAGGAATACTTCGTTCTCCTCTCCAACCGATGTGAGATCTCACAAGTAACAAAAGAATATCGAGTTCAAACTTGATAAATAAAAAGTTATAAGAACATCCATAAAAAGTTCAAACTCGAAGTCGTATAACCTATATGAAAGATCCAAACCAAAGTGTAGTTTCAAGACAAAATGGGAAAAGAGGAAAGATGGAAGTACCTTAATGCCAAGAGGATTAGCAACACCTCTCAAAAACTCCACATGTGCACCATCGAGTTGGCGAGTTCGTTCTCCGACCCAAAGCATGTGAGCCGAGCAGTCGTAGTATATCCCAGAAGTGGAATCCTCCCTAGTAAGTGCTTGCTCGTAAGGGAGGAGCAAACACTCATGAGACGTCCAAAACTCGGTTGAGGTCATGATAGGGTGATCGACAGTGAGTCCAGCAGCAGACATGAATCCAAGGGCCTCGTCAACTCGATGAGCTAGTTCTCGGTATCTGTTGGCACGTGGTGGAAAAATATATAACCAAACTATGCAACTACAATGAAAGAACAAAGTCCTCGAGAGTCAAACCTGTCGCCCTGCTCGCTATGCTCGGTGAAATCAAGATTCCACTGTGTAACTCTCTGCATTGCAGCATAACCTCCTGTGGCAAATGCCCTCAGGAGGTTCAATGTTGCGACCGACTGGCAGTAAGCTCTATTCATTCGATCGGGGTCGGGAACTCTAGATTTCTCATCAAATGAATCTCCATTTATATTGTCTCCTCTATAGCTTGGGAGTTTCACTCCATCCTTCTCCTCGTAAGGGTCCGATCTTGGCTTTGCAAACTGACCTGCCATTCTCCCAACCTACATTCATACGTAAGTCCGATTACATACTCGCCAAACGTAATTCCATACAATAACCCCGGAATCATTCAGCAGTCTCCAAGGAAAGAGTGATGAAGAATTACATAACTTTTTCTCCAATCTCCATTGTTGAGACACTCGGTCAACATAATAAATAAGTAAAAGGACGGAAAAGCTTTATAGTTGCAACATAACAGGGAATTCCAGTGACCATTCCATTAAGTCATTAAGCTCTAATGAGCACGGATGCAGCCCAAGCCTACCGCTAACAGATATTGTCCTCTTTGGGTTTTTCCTTTCAGGCTTCCTCTCAAGGTTTTTAAAATACGTGTGCTAGAGAGAGGTTTCCACACCGAATGTTTAGTTCTCCTCCCCAATCGATGTGGGATCTCACAACCTACCCCTTTGAGGCCTAACGTCCTCACTGACACTCGTTCCCTTCTCCAATCAATGTAGGACCTTGACCATTATGATGGGAATTGGTACCTTGTCTCATGAGCTATGTTCGAATCGACTCCGGGCAATGTGCCATGGAGGAAACTAAGCCCCAAAGGGGGTGGACACGAGGCGGTGTACCAGAAAGGATGCTGGGCCTCAAAAGAGAGTGGATTGGGGGGTCCCACGAGAAGGGAACGAGTGCCAACAAGGACGTTGTGCCCCAAAGAGGGTGGATTGTGAGATCCCACATCGGTTGGGGAGAAGACCGAAACATTCTTTATAAGAGTTTGGAAACCTCTTTCTAGCAAACGCGTTTTAAAAAAATCTTGAGGGAAAGCCCAAAGAAGACAATATCTGTTAGCGGTGGGCTATGTGTTACATTAAATCTTAAAAAGGACAATATCTACTAGTGGTGGACTTGAGCGGTAACATTAAACACCATAACCGTGCATGGGTGTGCTTAAAAGTGCAATTAAAATAAGTAACTTCAACAAAAACACTTATTATAAGTCCAGAAAAGTGCTTAATGGCTAATCACTTCAATTATTGGCTCAACTTTTAAAGCTTCCCTAACAATCACTTGAGTGAAAAACACTACAAATACTTTCTTGTAAAGCGCTTAAAATGCTTTTGAACTTTCCTGATCACTCATAAATCACTTACAAACATGATGATTTTGAATGAAAAAGAGTTTTAGAATGCAACAAAACAAAAGAAACTCCCAAACATCACTGTAATATCAATCTCTCAATCGATATCAACCAATAAGCCAAATCAATTATGAACATGCTTACCAAACGATGATCTAAAAGCCAAAAACATGACAAAATCATTCAACTTACCAATGGATCATTCATCAAAACATGCAAGAAATCAAAATAAAAAGGGCAACAGAAATCAACCTTGATAACAGGCATTTGACCTCCAAACATAAGAACAACGCTCATCTGGAGAAGAACACGGAAGGTGTCACGAATGTTATTGGCATTAAACTCCTTAAAGCTCTCAGCACAATCCCCACCCTGAAGAAGAAACGCCTTCCCCACAGCGGCCTGCGCCAGCCGCTCTTCAAGGGACCTAGCCTCTCCAGCAAACACGATCGGAGGGAACGATTCGAGGGTCTTGAGGACGGATTCAAGCACCGCCTGATCAGGATATTCGGGGAGTTGCAGAGCCTTCTTCGACTTCCAGCTATCGAGGGTCCATTTCGTCGGTACGAGAATCGATGGCTTTGACGACTTTGATGGGTCGGCGGCATGAATTGCGGAGATGGGTTTACGCGATCGGGCGGTGGCGGTGGCGGTGGTGAAGGGAGGCGGACGGGTGATCGGAAAGTGGGAATTTAGGAGGGATTTTGGGAGAGGGGATGTCGCTGGGAGAGCCATTTTGGGGCAAGTTTGAAAAAGAGAAACAGAGTGAAAATCGATGCGGCCGATGGCTTTTGGTGAGTGTTTGTTCTGTTATTCTTAATACAATCAATCAAAATCAGAATCATTTTTTTTATATAAATTAATTATAGAAAAAACGTTAGAATTTTGACATTTTAATGCGACTAGGAATCATGACTTATGACTTTTGATGATAAGATATTGTCCCTTTTAAACATAAATTCTTTTATCACCCTGATATGATATTATCTACTTTAAATAGAAGTTCTCGTCGCCCAAAAACCCAGTCAATAAATGGGCTCATTAGAGTTTTAAGATGATTAGATCACTCAAAACATTCCCCACTTAATCTCATCCTCTATCCCTACACTACAAAACGCGCGCACTTGGCAGAAACGGGCTGCTCCCGGAACCGATTCACTCGCATTTCGCCTACCGTTATGAGATGCCAATGGCCTCCACGCTCTGCATAGCCACCCATCTCGGCGCCCTAAAGAAGAATCTCGATGACTATCTCTCCCACCACAGCACCCGCATTCCAAGGCAAGCTCACGACACTGCAAATAGCCACTACATGTTCTTGCCCATCTTCAAATTGGTACTATTTTCTTCTGCTATCACAGCTCTTATCTGGGTTGTTTCAGGTTGTCCAGTTTATCAACCGATGCTCGGAAATTTGCTTGCGGGAGTCGTGGAAAGCAATTGGGTGTGTGCGGAAAGGTCCGTTTTAGAGGTTTTGTGTCGAAATGTAAAGCAATTGAGTTTAATTCGATGCCCCAAGAGAATGGAGAAGAGGGTGTTGCCATGGCGACTCTGATTTGGAGGGCTATTAAGCTACCACTTTACTCTGTTGCTTTGGTTCCTTTAATGGTATGTATATATATATATATACTCGTTGCATTCTATGGCAGCTAGTTGTGCAAGATTTGATATCAATCTTTTGAGAAATGTGTTGCATCAATTGTGATGAACTTGATTGTTCTTGATCTTTGAGTGTGTTCTATTCCATTTCTGAAGATGCTATGTATTAAGATTTTTCTCTTTGATTACAAACAGGTAGGAAGTGCAGCTGCTTATTTTGAGTCTGGGAATTTTTCTACTCGGCTATTTTTTGTAATCCTGGCTTCTTCGGTTCTTGTCATCAGTTGGCTTAATTTAAGGTGAAGAACTAGTTCTTGTATGACTTACATCTGTTTGTTTTTACACTCAACCTAGATCTTTGATAGCTTAATGGTTGCGTAGACGTTTGTTTCATGGTAAATTGTGAGATCTCATATCGGTTGGGGAGGAAAGTGAAGTATTCTTTATAAGGGTGTGGAAACCTCATCCTAGCTTACGCGTTTTAAAAACCTTGAGGGGAAGCCCAAAGAGGACAATATCTGCTAGTGGTGGGCTTAGGCTATTACAAATGGTATCAGAGTCCGACACTGGGTGGTGTGCTAGCGAGGACGTTGGGCCCTGAAGGGGGGTGGATTGTGAGATTCCACATTGAATGGAGAGAGGAACGAGAGCAAGCGAGGACACTGAGCCTCAAAGGGGGGTGGATTGTGAGAGAACGAATTAGAAGGGTATGAAAATCTCTCCTTAACTGACGCATTTTAAAAACCTTGAGGGGAGGCCCAAAAGGGAAAGCCCAGAGAGGACAATATCTGCTAGTCTATTCCCTAGTAGACGCGTTTTAGAAACCTTAAGGGGAGGCCGGCAAGGGAAAGCCCAAAGAGGGCGTCCCTTTGGACAAAAGAACGGGAAAGACGAATCCTATCGATAAAAGGCATTTTTTTTCTACTACCTTTGATACATGGGCGAGAAAGTCAGATGCTTGCTTCCTTCCTTCCGTCAATTCTGGGTCTCTTAGGGAATTCTCTTGCACCCCGATAGGACAGTAAGCTATCTTCTTACCAAGCAGGAATGAGTTTTAATAAAATATCTTCCTTGTATCTGCTAGCGGTGGACTTGAGTTGTTACATAAATTCTATCTATTGCCATCTTGCCTAGTCTAGAGTTCACACTACTGTCCATGGAAGCCTTTGCTTGCTCAGTTCTAACACAAGTTCAGGACAAAGTATGAACTATGAGCTCCTTCCTCCATTTGAAACTAACGAATTAAAACGATCCATTTGCAGTAACGACGCGTACGACTTCAGTACCGGAGCTGATAAAAACAAAAAGGAGTCGGTTGTAAAACTTGTTGGCAGGTAAGCTCACACTACTTTCTCGTCTAAGGACCCCTCGAATTTCGCAATCGTTGTCCTTTTTCTTGTTTCTATACAAAACTTATTGACTTGTTTGTGTTATTGTGGTGCAATAAGCCCAATAGGGACACTTGTTGCTGCTTACACTTTTCTTGCTCTTGGCTTCTTGGGGTTGACATGGGCATCTCTGGAGGCTGGGAGCCTGCGTGCCATATTATTTCTAGCCTTTTCAATTATTTGTGGCTACATATATCAGGTAACATCTGGGATCTTTAATTTTTGGTCTTCTTCATACTCTTGGCCCGATTCGATTTCTTTGCTTCATAATTCATGTTGATTCCAATGAATCTGAAATGAAATAATCGAGACGCCACTAATCCTTCTTTTAGCATTCGAAAGAAGTAATTGATTGAGTTGTTGACAGTGTTGAAGATTTTTTCGGAGAGGATTCTCACATCGACTAATTATGGGGTTGATCATGGATTTTTAAGTAAGGAATAAATCTTCATTGGTATGAGACCTTCCGGGGAACTAAAAGCAAAGCCATGAGAGCTTATGTTCAAAGTGGACAATATCATACTATTGTAGAGGGTCGGGATTTCTAACATGATATTAGAGCCATACCCTTAACTTAGCCATTTCAATTGAATTCTCAAATATCGAACAAAGAAGTTGTGAGTCTCGAAGGTGTAGTAAAAAGTGACTAAAGTGTCGAACAAATGGTGTACTTTGTTCGAGGGCTCCAAAAGAGTCGAGCCTTGATTAAGGGGAGGCTGTTCGAGGGCTCCATAAGCCTCAGGGGAGGCTCTATGGTGTACTTTGTTTGAGGGGAGAATTGTTGAGGATTGTTGGGAGAGGAGTCCCACATCGACTAATTAAGGGGTTGATCATGGGTTTATAAGTAAGGAGTACATCTCCATTGATACGAGACCTTTTGGGGAACCAAAAGCAAAGCCATGAGAGCTTATGCTCAAAGTGTACAATATACCATTGTGGAGGGTCGTGATTTCTAACATGATATTAGAGCCATACCCTTAAGTTAGCCATGTCAATTAAATCCCCAAATGTCGAACAAAGAAGTTGTGAGCCTCGAAGGTGTAGTCAAAAGTGACTAAAATGTCGAACAAATGATGTACTTTGTTCAAGGGTTCCAAATGAGTAAACCTCGATTAAGGGGAGGCTGTTCTAGGGCTTCATAGGTCTCAGGAGAGGCTCTATAGTGTACTTTGTTCGATAGGCGAATTGTTGAGGATTGTTAGGAGACGAGTCCCACATCGACTAATTAAGGGGATGATCGTGGGTTTATAAGTAAGGAGTACATCTCCAATGGTATGAGGCCTTTTGGGGAAACCAAAAACAAAGCCACGAGAGCTTATGCTCAAAGTGGACAATATCGTACCATTTTCGAGATTCATGATTCCTAACACGACCAACCCATTTTATTCTATACACGCACACTATAACAAGCTATTTATTCTTTAGCTTTGATAATTGACTCGGTTGCAGTGTCCACCGTTCCGGTTAAGCTACCACGGATTGGGAGAGCCGTTGTGCTTTGCTGCTTTCGGTCCATTTGCTACAACAGCATTTTACTTATTACAGAGCAACGCAAGGTTACAATCATTTGGTTTGGATTAGCAGTTGTTGTCTGGTTTTTTTCTATATTGACGGTCTGTCTGATCCACAGGGAGATGAGATATCTTCCCATAACCAATACGATCCTTTCCGCCTCTATCCTTGTCGGAACGACGACAACTCTAATTCTCTTCTGCAGCCATTTCCATCAGGTACTTTCCCCCCTCGTCGAGACAAAAACAAAACAAAAAACACGAATCCTTAACTCTTCTGCTGTCTTACATTAACAATCATGTTTGACCAACACCGACATTGTTGTGCATAGGTTGAGGGAGACAGGGCTGTTGGAAAAATGTCCCCTTTGGTATAACATGTCTTTGCTCAGCTTCAGCTTGTCAAAAACATTTGGAGAAATTAATGTTGTATCTGTCTGTGTTGGATAACTTATTATGCAGGTAAGGCTTGGCACAGAAAGAGGTTCCAAGGTGGTGAAGGCTGCAGTAATTATGCTTTTTGTGCTTCTATTTGCTCTGGGTTTAAGCAAGAGTCTTCCATTTACTTGCATTGTAAGTTAACTCTGAAAACTCGACTTACTTTGTGAACTGAATAACTTTACGTTGTCTTTCATATATGCTATTGTTTTCTTTTGTAGTTCTTTTGTGGTCTGACGATCCCGGTGGGCAAGCTAGTGGTTAGCTTCGTTGAAGAAAACCACAAGGTGATTGGCTAACAATTTACTCTAAAGATTATATGTTAAATCTTTAGGTCAATTAGTAATTCAACCGATGACCTAAAAAATTCGATCACGATGAACTTATTTAGATTGGGTTGAGTTCGGTCGGTTCATGGATTTCTCTAAAACTAGGTTAGATTGAAGGTCGTGGGTTAACCAAGGAACAATAGATTTAAGGAAGTCCACTCTTGTTCTTTGGGCCAACTTATAGCCACTCTTTTTCACCTACACCGTGAGAAAAAGGTTATGATAGCAAGCCACTCCCTGGTCGGAGAGCCTCCAAGACAAGGGGGTGGCGGTCAACCATCCACTCTCGAGATTCATATGGGTCAATCGATCTTTGCATTGAGTTGGGTCTAAGTAATGTGTCAACCCAATTCAACCTAACCCACGAATGCCTCTAAAAGCTGACGTGGATACTCATAGATTAAAAAAGAGAGAAATTTGTAGGAAAATACTTTTTGATTTATGATTGTTATTATTTGGTTATATGTTTATATTTTTCCTTAATTTGCAGGATAAACAGAAAATTTTCATGGCCAAGTATTTGTGTGTGCGGTTACATTCCATATTTGGACTTGCATTGGCTGCTGGATTGGTTGCACCTAGATTCTTCGGTTTAATTAATTAATGTTTTGATCGAGTATTCATAAGGTAAAGTTTGAAGTCGTGATCACTTCCCGACATTTTGTATTACTCAAATTGATAAGGTAACCTATGCAAGTTTTATCGTATAGTGTAATAACCCAAGCTCAATATTTTTAAAACGCATCTGTTAAGGAGAGGTTTCACACCCTTTATAAATAATGTTTCGTCATCGTCTTCAACTAATGTGGGATCTCATAATTCATCTTCTTTGGAGTCTAACGTCCTCGCTGGCACTTGTTCCTTTCTCCTATCGATGTAGGATCTCACAATCCACCCCCAAGATCTAATGTCTTCGCTGACACACCGTCCAATGTCCACTCCCTTCAGAGCTCAACATCATTGCTGGCACACCACCTAGTGTCCAACCCTTAAAGACTCGGTGTCCTCGTTGACACATCGCCTAGTGTCCACCCCTTTCAGGGCTAAGCATCATTACTGGCACACCGCCCAATGTCCAACCCTTAAAGACTCAGTGTCTTCACTGGCACATTGGCACATCGTTCGGTGTCCACCCCTTTGAGACTCAGCGTCTTTGCTGACACATCGATCTGTGTCTACCCCTTTTCAAGGCTCGGCGTTAGCATTTATAGAACTTTCCCCGCAATTTGTACCTTTGATAATATTGAGTGGGCTCCTTGTGGCCTAAGTGTTAACAACAAAGCTTGACTTTGTCCATTTCCATCCAAAAAAGTCAACAGTCACGACAAAGAAAAATCACCAATCGCCTTTACAATAACATTCAAACCTTGCGGTGGTAACCTATTCCCTTCAACCACTCTCTCTCCTTGGCCGCCGAATTTTCCAATTTCAACGCCTTCTCTCTCTCTCTCTCTCCTCCTCAAATCCGCCATGGATTTCCTCTCCCGAAAGCTCCTCTCCGACGACGACGACGACGACCTCAAGAAACTCTGCCTTAAAACCTGCCCCAATAACTCTCCCGATTCTTGCCCTTCCGATTGCCTCGAAAAATGCCCAAACCTTTGTTCCCGTGGCTCGATTTCAATCCCGCCGCCCTATTACGACAAATCGCCTCACAAACTCTCCAATTGGGTCACAGCCACCATCGCCTTTCTCTCTTTCACCTTTCTCCTCGTCATCTGTTACACCGTCTACGTCCGTTTCTACTCCGGCCGCCGCAGACGCCACCAACGCCCTGACCCCCCACCGCCCACCACCCACCAAGAGGAGTTTCTCGATGAAGAACATGGCCCTGTTTTGGATCACCCCATCTGGTATATCCGTACCATCGGCCTCCCGCCGGCTGTCATCAACGCCATCGCTATCTGCAAATTCAAAACCGGCGAGGGTTTGATCGACGGAACAGAGTGCTCTGTTTGTTTAAGCGAATTTGAAGAGGATGAGACTCTTAGACTTTTGCCTAAGTGTAGCCACGCTTTTCATCTCCCCTGTATCGACACTTGGCTTCAATCCCACACGAACTGCCCCATGTGCCGCGCTCCAGTGGTAGCTCAATCCACCGCCGTGACCCCACCGCCGCCGCCGCCTCCGCCTCCTCTGGTCACATCTGAAGAAACCCAGATGAGGGATTTACAGAGGGAAGTGGGAAATGGATCCAATTCCGGCGAATCTTCTCTAAGAAACGAAGAACAACAAGAACAACAAGAACAAGATGAAATTCAGGCAGTGAGAAGATCAGTTTCTTTAGATTCATTATCAGCTCTTCGAATAATCTCTGATCTTGCTGACATTGGTATGAGAAATGGGAATGATTTGAAGAAGAAATCATCCCAAGAGAGAGTGAATTCTTCAGCAGCTATGAACAGGTCAGTTTCTTGCAGTGGCGAATTTGTGATGAGAAATTCGACACAGAGTAGTAGTTGAACTCTGTTTCTTGTTCTTGTTTTGGTTTTTGGTCTCTGAAGATGGAGATATGTCTAAAGAAACTCTCAGGAAGCTGAGAAAACACACACGATTTGAAAAGATTAATGATTATACGATGTTGGAAACATGTTTTTTCCTTTTTTTTGTGAAGTTCTTACATTGGATGTTTGTACAAATTACTTTCCAATGGCTCCAAGTTGAACTCTTCTAAAACAAATGAATGTTCTTAGATTAAGATTATGTTTTTTCTAGCTCATGAATCTTATTAGCGTAGTCCTTTAATATATTACGTCTATTTAGTGTATGAAGTTAGCGAATTCTAATTTGTACCTTTGTGTTATGTCCGTTCAATAAGTGGCTAAGAGTAAGCAAGTAACCTTAGATTCTTGGCACGAGGTTCACAGGCTCCTACTCTTTCGGCTTGGTTTTAGTACAACACCTAAACTTGAAATTATGATATGATTGACACTTTGTTTTCCGTTGTTCTTATCAGTACAGTGAATAAGAAATCATCAGCTATTTTCAAAACTTTAACCAAACTCGAGTTTTTTAAAGTTTAGAGATAATAAGATTCTGAACAAGAAAGGAGCGAAACCACTTTACCGAGTAAGAGAAGGGAAGGAGTAGAGCAGCTTTAGCGAAGATAAGGAGTATCTCAATTGACAAAGAGAGGAAAATAGAGTACGGGATTATCGCGTGTATGTATGGTATTAGAAAATTTTAAGGATTTTTTAAATAGGTAACTTTAATTAATTTTTTTTTTATAGATATGATTTTTTTAAAAATTAATTACAAAAATATATTTTCTAAACAATACTTATATATGTAACATATTTATACATATGTAAAATAAAAAAGAAAAATCAAGTGAAGGATGATACATATTTATCGGTTCTCGACTCTGCAAAATAGTTTGAGCAACTCTTTCTCTCGTGAAGGCAACTCGGGGCATAAAAGTGTCACACTAATACACGATTAACAGACATTCACCCGAAATAAAAACGTAAAATTGTGGGCAGTTTTTTTAATTAATTAAAGTATAGTTCAACTGATTCAATCTTAAGTCTCGTGTATTATTAAAACGAATAGATTTTAAATAAAAAAAATATTTATTTTGAAATTCTGCGACAATTTCGTGAAAAATTCGACATATTTTTCTAAAATGGTAAATGCGTCTCTTTTTCCTTTATTATATTTATATTGAATAAATATTCTATCAAATATTTTGACTAATGACCATAAAGTTGGTAAACTTAGCTTTATTCATTTTATTTATTGATTCTAATTTTTTTTCCACAAAAGATGAAGGTTATATTCAAATTTGCAACCACAATTATAAAGACCCGACTTTTCATTACGATGGGATTGTTATTACATGTCGATTGTCGAAAATCCTTTAAAATGTTTAAAAAAAAAACCTTAAGCGGAAGTACTTTTAAAAATATCAAAATTTGATTTGAGATCGGAATTAAAACAATAATCACAATTTATATTAGAAAAAATAAACGTGTTCTAACACAAAAATGTAAAATTGTGGAAGCTATCTGTCGTGCCTTGTCCCATGCCTTATTTAGTAGACGGCGTCAACCGTCTAATATCCCATTTTTTTTATCAAGAAAAAAAATTAGAAACGATTGAGTAGTTATAAATATTAAGCGACTCCTGTCCAGAATCATAAGGATTCATATATATTATAATAATTAAGAAAACTTTTATTGTTTGATTTTCTATGAAACTGTTGTAGTTTTCATACTTAATGACTACCGTAGGTCAGTATATAAACTTAACCTTAAAATAAATAAAAATTCTCTAAATCGATTTCATTTGAATCGATCTTATCGGAACGTGATATTATTTCATTCATCTATATCTTTTTTACTCAGTATCACAGGTTGAAATAGCGGCCTCTTTGTCAAACTTCAAGTCCTACCATCTTGCCTCCCACTAAATAAAAACATTGAAAGTGTTTTTATTCTACTTTGGTTGGGAAGGGGTACGAATCACTGCTTAGCTGCATAAACCTCTCTTTATTAGACGTGTTTTAAAATTGTGAGACTAACGACGATACGTAGTGGGTCAAAGTAGACAATATCTATGACGGGTGAGCGTGGACCATTACAAAACAAAATCCAATCACACGCACTTTAATGGCAAGCCAAGTTCAAAACCAAACACTATACATTTGTTAGGGAGGAAAAAAAAAGGATCACCAACCCAATATCAAATTCCACTAATATTAAAGGGAAAAGAAAACCCTCTTAATTGGAGTGGACAAGTTGGAGACAAACGGGATGGTCACAGTGTATCCAATTTGGATAATGAGGGTACCATAGGGTTTTGGGTTTTAGGTTTCGGGTTTAAGGTTTAGGGATGATGGATTGGACTAATTTAGATTGAGCTCGACCAGTGTGAAACAACAATAGATAGAACGAACCCAGATTGAATCATGTCTGAAATCACTTGAATCAGTGTCCGTTTCAGGTTTAGGGTTTAGGGAAGATGGATTGGACTAATTTAGATTGAGCTCGACCAGCGATAAAACAACAACAAATAGAACGAACCCAGATTGAATCATGTCTGAAATCACTTGAATCAGTGTCTAGGTTTAGGGTTTAGGGAAGATGGATTGGACTAATTTAGATTGAGCTCGACCAGCGATGAAACAACAACAAATAGAACGAACTCAGATTGAATCATGCCTGAAATCACTTGAATCAGTGTCCGTTTCAGGTTTAGGGTTTAGAGAAGATGGATTGGACTAATTTAGATTGAGCTCGACCAGCGATGAAACAACAACAAATAGAACGAACCCAGATTGAATCATGTCTAAAATCACTTGAATCAGTGTCCATTTCAGGTTTCGGGTTTAGGGTTTAGGGAAGATGGATTGGACTAATTTAGATTGAGCTCAACCAGTGGTGAAACAACAACAGATAGAACGAACCCAGATTGAATCATGTCTGAAATCGCTTGAATCAGTTAGAGACACATTGAATCGATGGTCTCCTTCACATGAAGGGTGCGGTGCATCTTCTTCTCTGGCGAGATTTGCATGCAAAACGAGCCTGACAATTAGAGAGAGGAAGAGTAGTGGCATAGATAAACTATTCGTTCATGCAACAGAAGTATTAGATCTTAGTTTGATTTTATTAATAAGCACAAATCTTATGTGGGTAGAAATTGTAGTTCAAAAATCTATCGGATGTGTTCCAACTGTATGAAACTTTTTCGCAATATCTTTTTG